TAATAAATTTGTTAGTCTCTAAGGTGCCACAAGTACTCCTGTTCTTTTTGCGGATACAGACTAACACAGCTGCTACTCTGAAACCTGAGGTAAGTAGATCCATTCCCTGAGAGCAGCACTCAAACCTGCAGCACACACACAGTGCCCACAGCGGGTCCGCTTGAGCCACATCACTTCCCTCCAGACAGATGAACAAGAGAGGAGCAGGAGTTTGGGGGAGGGAGGGTTTAACAAAAGACACAAAGACAGCAAGAAGAGTTCCAGGCAGTTTACCCCCAACAATGGGTGATTTGGAGCCAGCCAACATCGGGGGAGGGAGGATAAGGAACACTTCCCATCAACACTGTTAGACAAGGTGGAGACTTTAGGTGTGTGGGGGAGGGGGTGTTAAAAGGAACCTTGGAGTCCAGAGCCATGGCAGAGCCAGGAGTAGAACCAGCAGACCTGACGCCCAGCACTCCCTCCTCCACCCAGGGACAACAGGTTTGTATAATTTTTGGTACTGCCCAGAGCGGGTCCAAGTCCTGCAGGCCCCACCTCACCCCCACCGCCTAAGGCTCTGGGAGGGAGTTTGGGTGTGGCAGGGGGGGAAGGGTCAGGCTCTGGGAGGGAGTTTAGATTCAGGCTCTGGGCTGGGGAAGGGGGTTGGGGTGTGGGAGAGGGTGAGGGGTGCAGCGCTTACCTCAGGCAGCTCCCAAAAGCGACCCACGCCCCCCTCTGGCAGCAGCTCCTAGGTGGGGGGCTAGAGGGGTCTCCACACGCTGCTGCTCACAGGCAATGCCCCTGCAGCTCCCACTGGCCACAGCTCAGGGCCGGGGCAACGCACAGAGACGCGCCCCCAGGGGCCGCAGGGATGTGCCGTCCGCTTCCGGAAGCGGAGCGGGTGGGCAGGAAGCCGCCTTAGCCCCATTGTGCTGCCGGTGGTGGCAGCAGGGGCCCCGGGCCCTTTTAAATTGCCCAGGGGCAGCAGGCAGGGCTAGGGGAGATGCTCTAGGGGAGGCAGCTGGCAGGGCCAGGGGAGAGACCCGGCCCTGAACTTTGGTGGAGCTGGGCCCCCGTGCTCTCACATTGGTGGAGCACGGGCCCCACAGGCCCATACAACTTGCACCCCTGCCCCCACCATGTTCTAATCCGGTAGCTGCACCCCTCTCCGAGGCAGGGACAGAACGCATCTTTCATGCCACATCCCAGCAGGCAGTGCATAGAGGGGATACAGTTTTCTCCAGAGCAATCCCAGGGACATGATAGGACGGGGCTCCCAATGGAATCAGGGGTGAGGTGGAAGTTTCCCCCCACCTCCTCACAAAATGCCATCACAAGCCAGCATCCCAATTAACTATTTATTTTAAAATAATTACAACCCAATCCCTCCCGATCACGGTGCCGTCATTACCGGATCCTCTGTTAACTACAGGATCCTTAAACGTGGGGGTAGTTGGATCCCTATTGGGGGGCCAGAACCCCCTCTTCCCACCAGAATCCATTCCTGATGGGCAGAGATGTCCAGTGCAGGCACCGCTTCCCACTAGAGCTGAGAGAGGCTGGATGTGGATTCTAGGGCCATCAGGAAAGGAGCCCGGCGCAGGGGGGCCTGTGAGAGAGGCAGACACACCCAAGGGGCTGCTCACTCGATGAGCTTCTTGGCCTTGAAGAAGCGGCGCAGGTAACAGACTTGCCAGGTGGCCAGGCCCACCAGACACAGCATGGAGAAGATGCTGAAGTAGAGCACGCGGGTGCTGGTGGACTCTGCGGAGAGAGAGACATGGGGTGAACAGGGGACCCCAAAGCATCATCACAAGTGGCTTCCAGCCACTTCACAGGCGAGAACCCAGGCGTCCTGGCTCCCGGTCCCCTCCTCCTGTGTTCTGTCCCCAGCCCTGGGAGGAGAGTGGGGTCTAGTGGGTACATGGGGTGCCTCCTCACCATTTGTGTCCCTCATTTCCTCCTCCCGCTGCTTCATGTAGGCAAAGTCCTTGACGATGGATTCAGAAAGGTCCTCGAGACGTCGTAGATCTACCTCCAGGGGCTTCAGCTTCTCTGCCTTGGCAATCTGGGGGTGGGGACAGTGGGAATGAGATGCACAATTCCACCCCGCACTGAGACGTAGCCACCTCTGGGGTAAGGCATAAGGGCTGTCTATACAGGGATCTCTTGTCCGGTGCTGAGACACGGCCATCCTGGACTGGGCACAGGGGCTGTTTATACAGGGATCCCTCGCACCATGCTGAGATGCGGACGCCTCTAGGCTGGGGCACAGGGGGCTGTTTATACAGGGACCCGTCAGAATTCTGGCCCTCAGGCTTTAGCAGAGCTGGGGATACATGCCCAGTTGGGTGGATGTTGTCAAATCTGTCCTTGGGCTGAGATTGCTGGTACCCCACCTTCCCCATCAGGCACAGGACAGAGGGGCAGCTGCAGGGGGTGGGGGACTCAAAGGGGGTGTTACTCACGTCTTCATAGTTCCGGGCCTCCACCCCATGTTTGACATTGAGGGTGATCAGCTGGTCAGGAACTCGGAAACCCACTGGGGAGGGAGGGATGAAAGAAAAGTTATAACTGTCACAGGGGAGGGAAGAGCTGGTGCATGACCCCACTTCCCTTCCAGTCAGGGATAGAACCCTAGAATCCTGGTTCTCAGCCTGTCCTGCTGTAGTCACTAGATACCACTCCCCTCCCACAGCCAGGAATAGACCCCAGGAATCCTGGCCCCCAGCACCCTCCTCAATGCTAACCACTAGACCTCCCTCATGATCACACGTTTCCTGGCCGTGCTGAGTGCGGGAGACCCCAAATGGGGGTGGCAGGGAGCTGTGGGGTGGGAGGAATGCCCCCCAGGACGCAGAATCCCTGCACCAGGAGTGAGACCTCATACCCGACTGGGCGTGGCTCTCGAAGCAGATCTCGTAGATCTCATAGTCGTCTGTGGTGAAGGCGAATTTGCCCTTCTTGGCATCTTCCTTGGAGTAGAGCAGGTGGCCGGAGGAGTCTGTCACCTGGGGTGGGGGTGGGGACAGACTGTGATCCCACAGTACTACCCATCTCCCCGGACCAGGCTCCCAATGCCTACGATGATCTTGTTCCCCAAGAGGATAGGGGTGTAGTGTGTCCCCTCCACCCAGGAGTATGGGGTGTCCAGTGGGGAGATGGGGGTCCCTGATATCCTTCTTGGGGGAGGGCGTCACATAACTCCGAGGTAAGCCTCGGACCTTGGAGAACAAAGGGGCGGTCCTGGGGTGGTGCACAGCGTAGGGGGCAGGGCACCCGAGGGGTCACGGGGGTGGCCCCGAAGCCAGCGCTAACCACGGAGGGAGGGTTCGGGGGTGCGGCGGGGATCCCTAGGGGCTCTCACCCGGAGATCGGTCCTGGCCCCCGGCGCCCCGGCCTCTGACACCTCATATTCCCCGGTCACCATGACGTCGCGGTGCATCTCCTCTTTCAGGCACTTGCGGGTCTGCGCCGGGAGCTGGAACGAGAGCGCCCCGCACCCGCCGGCCAGCAGCAGCGGCAGCAGCAGGGGACCCAGGAGTCCGGGGCCGGGCCGCGGCACCCGCATGGCCTCGAGACGCCGCGTCCGGCTCCCCCTAGCAGGTTGATTCGGTTGCGTCCGGCTCCTCTGTCACACTGTCCCTGAGCTGATTCGGTGGCGTCGGACCTGGCGCTCACCCGACGTGGCGCTCGCTCTATGGTCCGGCCCCCACCCCGCAGCGGGGACAGGCCCTAGCCGTGCTTCCGCTTCCGGCTCCACTCTACTCCATCTCCGGCAGCGCGAAATAGAGTCCGGGCAGCGCGAACTTCGGACCGCGGGGGGGGGGGAGAGGAAGTGCGCAGGCGCGGAGCGATCTCGGCGGGGGGGCTCAGGAATTTGGTGGGGCTTCTCTCCTCCCCTTCCTCGGGCTGCGGGGAGGGAGGTCTAATGGATAGAAGCAGGGGGCCAGGACTCCTGGGTCCTCTCCCCAGCTGCGGGGGGCGGGGTCTGTATCTACCAATGGGCAAGAAATGTAAAAATTAAGTGAATCCGCTTTACAAGCGGAGAGGCGCTGGGTGGCGCCAGAGAGCAGGGGCCGGGCAGGGGCCGTACGTGCAAGGAGTCAGGGGGAGCAGCCCTGACCCCTCTGCCCCGCCCTGGGCCAGCAGCCAGGAAGAGAGCCCCAAGGCTCGCTGTCCGGGGCAGGGCAACCCTGTATCCCTCCTTCCCTCTCAGTCCCCCCCCAGTATCCTTTAGCACCCCACCCCCTTCTCTCATCCCCTATGCCCTTTCCACTCCCGCGCCTGCTCCACAGCTTGCCCCCCCAACCCCGCACACCCCTCTCCCATGTCTTCCCTTCCACTCCTGCTTCCCCGATCACCCCAAACATCACCTCTCTACTCTCCCTCATTCCCCCTGCATGTCCCTCCCTCTCCTCATTCCAACCCGCCCCCTTCCCTTCCTCCCCCCAATCCCGGTCTGTCCAGGGGTTGGCCAGGCAGGGAGCCCCAGGACTGCCCCCTGGAGCAGGGCAGGGCAGGGATCAGCCCCCAAGTGCTGCTGACCCTGGTTAAAAGGCTGTGATGGGGTGAGGCTGAGAAGGCACTGGGTGCAAGGATGCCTAGAGTGTGTCTCAAGCCCTGGCACCACTCCCCGCCTGCAGCGGGGCTGACACTGCATAAAAGAGAGAACCTGGCAGCCACAAGGAAATTAATGTGCCAGGATGGGGCAGGGGTGGGGCAGACTGATCCCCTACCCCCTCAACAGGGCCCCAAGAGGTTAATAGGAGTGTGAGTGGGAGAGAAGGGCTAGCTGGGGACTTCCCCCCCCCATGCAGTGTTATGGCCCCCCTTACTATCAGAGCCACCTGGGAATTGATAAATGGGATGGGGGGATATGGAGAGTGAGGCAGGGAGGGGATATGGGGTCCCTAGAGCAGCCACAGGTGTTGGGGGAGGCATAATAAACCTAGTGGGGAGGGAGGCACAAGCAGCTGGGAAGTTAGTCGGGATGGGAACATCCCAGCTGGGAGAAATTGGGCCTGGGCTGGAGAAAGGTGGGTGCAGCCCAGGCCCAGTTTCCAGCTGGTGCCGGGTAACCCCTGGGAAGGATTGGGGCTGGAAAGAGGAATGGTGACCACCCATTGCCCCTGGTGGCAGGGGGCTGAGGTTCCTCTAGGGTTACCCCCTGTGTAATCGGCAGGGGGCTGGGAATAGCCCTGGCTCCCTGCTGCATAGTGTTATGGGAGGTATCAGGGGCCTTCCAGTCATTGCAGCTTGGATCAGAGCCCTGGGACAGGTGAGTCTGAGCACAAAGCAGGACATGAGCTCAGGTATATTGTCAGCAAAACAAAGGAGACTAGTAGATTTGAAGACTGGTTGGCAGGGGGGAAACTGAGGTACGAGGTCTCTAGGGAAGAGCAATATCCCTTTATCCTTCCCTATCTGTGGTAGATGGCAGTGGGGATGGAGCAATTGCTCTGCTTGCGTCAGCCCTGCCAGGTGCTGGCGTCAGAGCCAGGAGGGTGGGGATGGGACAAGACTGCACCTGCTGGAATCACACAGCCCAGCTGAGAATGTGAACCACCCCC